ATGTAGTTACCCTACAAAAGGGGTACATTGCTCTGCTAGACACCATAGGCTAACAAAGTAAAAGCTCAATGTCAGGAATGGACTCGCTCTTTTGAAGCTATTGGCCAGGGGTCCCATAGTTCCTCAAACAATACTGGCCATTGCCCCTGCTCTTGGTTACACGGCAGAACTTGATGGTAAGATCCTATTGCTGAAGACATTGCTACATATATGAGCTATAGAACAAAGAGAAATCAAGATGGTGCTGACTTCAGAGCCTCATCTCTGTTGGCTAGCTTTCGTAATGCTGGAATGTGCTGTGCATCCTACCAGGAGAACAAAATAATCATCATCCTTACCCAGCTATGAATCCTACAGGCTACAATAGCAACTGGCCTGGCAAGGTATGATCTCTGGTGCAATAGTGGCACAAATATTATGGGAGTATCCAACCACTTTTTAATTTTTTTTGTTTGGTTGGTTGGATTTTTTCTTTTTGGTTTTGTGTTTTTGAGATAGGGTCTCTCTGTTGCCCCCAGCTGGCCTGGAGCTCATCATATTGACCAGGCTGGCCTCACCCTCATAGGGACCCACCCTCCCCTAACTCCTGAGTGCTGGGATTAATGGCATGTTTCACTGTCTGCCTTTTTATTTATTTTTTATATATTTTATGTTGCATTTATTAACTTACAAAGGAATGAGTACCCAGTGCCTAGCCCCACGCCTCCGGTGGCATGGCTCAGAGCCTGCCATATCAGACTGTGCCCCAACTACCATAGCCACCACTAGCATTTGCTCATGCCTCAGGGGCCAGTGATCTTGCCCTAGGTCCATAAGTGTCGGGCCATTCTGTCCTTGAGCTGCTGCGCGCACAAGCGTTCCCACGGCTCCTGCTCTTCCCCATGGCTGGAGGCTTCCCCATTCACTGCTTCTGTTCCAAGATGGCTCCCATCAGGCCCCGCCCCTTGGAAGAACTAGTCAATTGGGAGACACTCCATCCCTTTCCTCCACTCTTACAATTTTTCCGTCCATATTCCACTAAGGTCCCTGAGCCTTGGAGGGGGTGACAGATGTAGGGTGATCTCTCTTGTATCATGGCAAGATAGTGGCTTCTTGGGCCTCTGATCTGATCTATCTCAGTGGTGTTTCTTCCCAGAGAGAGGCCTGGGGGTTGTGCCTGTCTGGCTTTTTTTTTTTTTTTTTTTTCTTGTCTTTTTGAGACAGGGTCTCTCTGTAGCCCCAGCTGTCCTAGAACTCACTATGTAGACCAGGCTGGCCTCGAACTCACAAAGATCCGCCTGCCTCTGCCTCCCAAGTGCTGGGATTAAAGGCATGTGCCACTACACCTGGCCTGTCCGGCTTTTTGTAAAAAAAAAATTATTATTTTAAAAATTATGTGTATGTATGTGTGTGTTTGTACATGCCAGTGTAGTGCCCATGGATCCCCTGTAGCTGGAGTTAACAGGCAGTTGTTAAGCTACTTGACGTGGGTGCTGAAAATTGAACTTTGGTCCTCTGGAAGAGCAGTATGTGCTCTTAACTGCAGAGCCATCTCTCTAGCCCCTTAAGATTTATTTTTTAAATAATGTGTATGTATGTGTGTGTCTCTGTGTGTGTGTGTGTGTGCCTGTGAGTACAGTGCCTGTGGAGGCCAGAGGAGGGTGTTGGTTACCCTGCAGCTGGAGTTATAGATGGTTGTGAGCCATCTGACATGAGTGCTGGGAACTGCACTGGGGTCTTCTGCAAGAGCAGTATGTGGTCTTAACTGCTGAGCCATCACTCCAGCCTTAAAGGGGGGTCTTGATCTTTACCTGGTTGCTTTCTTTTAACTTTAAGGTTCTCCAGCATCACCTTCTCAGAGATGCCTTTCCTGGACATTCTCGTTTTGAAGCAACTTTTCCTGCCTGACTCTTCATGCCTATTAGCTACTTATTCCCTGATTCCTTCAGAGCACTTTGTAGCATCTGAAATCATTTTTGTTTATGTTAATACTTACTACCTGTCTTACTCTGAAAGCTCTTTTGTGGACAAGGAAATACCTGTTTTGTTTAATTTGTATTTCTAGCACCTGAGGTAATTCTTAGCTTGCTATAAGAACTCTATATTTACTAATGGATCAACTTGTTTGGTGAGAAATGTGATTAATGGCAACTTTGAGGTCCTAGTCATTCAGCCCTCAGAGAGGAAAGAAACTTTCTCACTAAGTTTTGGCCATAAATGTCACAAGGATGTGTTTAACTGTATCCTAGCTCATTCTAAAGGCTGGAGGGCAGAGTCTGTGATGGGCAGCTTACAAGTGAGCATTATAACTGGAGCTGGGGAGGAGTCAGCTCCACAACAAAAGGGAAGAAACTGCTCTTTGGGATGGATCTGTGTTTGCCTTCTTACATTGCCATTCCATCTGACAACTCTTCCTCCCAGGGTTGAAGTGGCACAGGCGCCATGCAGTTTCTGTGCCAGTCATTTCCTCCAGATGCCTTTTGGAGGCCTCTGCTCTGGAGGCTTAACATCATATCCCCATGGTACCATGTAGTAACCTTGCCGTCTTTTGATGGACTTTTCTTTCAGATCACCTCTGCCAGCTCTCAGACTCTGAAAGGACAAGTCCTCTGCAGGACCACTCTGAAGCACTCATCAGCTTATTGCTTGACCTGAGTGGGTGACCTCAGAGTGCACTTGGGCAGTCCTTCTCCATAAGAAGATATGACTCATCACTAATGAAAGTGGTAACAATGCTTTGGAGACAAGGCACAAGTGGTGAAGCACCTTTGCACCAAATGGAAGAACACATTTCTTTGGTGCTACATGAACAGCTTTACAACAATAAAATTTTCATAAACTAATGACCGCTTTGTCTCTGGCTTTTTTATTTTTTGAGACATGGTCTATATAGCCTTAGCTGGCCTAAAACTTGCTATGTAAACCAGGATGCCTTTGAATGTACAGGCATCTTCCTGACTCTCCCTCCTATTGCTGGAATTACAGTGTGTGCCACCACACCCTGTTGATTTTCCTTCATATTTGTATTGGCTTGTCTGTGGAATTTTTCCTAGAATGTTATAAGTGTTTGCTACTACAGTTTTTGCTGCTAATGTCTTGTTTAGTCCTTTAAACCCTATGTAGTAGAGATTGAAGGAAAGGGAGGTGGGGACACTATTGCCCTTTTTGGTGGGGAAGGGTTCTTTTTGACCCAGGATCTCCCTGTAGCCCCAGGTGGCCTCAAACTCACAGAGATCTACCTGCCTCTGCCTCCTGAGTACTGGGATTAAAGGTGTGTGCCACCATACCTGGCCTACTATTGCCATCTTTTCAAATCATTCTTTCCCTTTAGGTACAAGAGCACTTGGAGTTTGGAAACATTCACATGTTGAAGCAGGCAGAGGGCAACTGGAGATCCTGCAAGTCTTAAGAATTCTCTAAGCATGGCCCCGGTGACGTGCTTCCTCCAGCATGGAGGAAGACCTCTCAAAACAGTACCACCAACTGGGGACAAAAAGTCTGAATAATTGGAGCCTATGGGGGACATTTTCATTCAAACCACCACTTACCACTTCCTGGTCCAATAGGCTCCTGACCATATAAAAGGCAAAATGCATTTAGTCCAACCTTATAGTCCAACCTTAAAAGTCCCAATGCTATTCAGAAGTCCACAGTTCAAAGTCTCTTCTGAGACTCAAGACACTTAGCTGTAAAACCATGTAAAATCAAAAGAAAAGTAACATACTTCCAAAATACAATGGGACTGAATACACATTCCCATTCCAAAAGGGGATGGTGGTGTAGTGAGGAAATACTAGAGCAAAACAAGACTGAAAACCAGCAAGGCAAACACCAAATCCAGTAGGTCCATGTTTGACTTCTTGGACTTTACTTTCAACGGGCTTTACTTCCAAAGATGGCTTAGCCCCTTCAGTTTTGCCATGTGCAACAAACATCTCTCTCTTAGGCTGGTACCACTCCCTCTATGCAACTCTCCTTGGTAGGTGTTGCACAGGTCTGGCATCTCGAGTATCTTGAGGTCTCCACTGCCAACCAGGCTTCACCTTCACAACTTCACACAATGGCCTATCAGGGCCTCTGCGGCTCTCTGAAACAGTGGAAGAAGAGCCAATGATCCCGCCACTCTTGCATCTTTCTCGTGCCTCTAAAGCCAGCACCAGGTGAATGAGATGCTGCTAAGTTTGATTGCAAGTCTGTTGCTTCCTTCCACATTTGCAGCTTTTCTTTGCAGTGATTTTCTAGTAGAAAACCCCTCCAGCATTTTCCTTTCACAAATTGGAGCCTTAGATGGGTGTGGTCTTGACCTAGAGGCATTCTTTCAGTTGTTTAAATGCAAATCTCTAGGCCTCTCCTTAATCACTTTAATCTTATTCAAGAGATCCTCTCCTTCAGCACATACCTTGACTCCAACATTTATCTAGCTAGTGCTCTTTTTCAATCCAAACTGTACATTCTGCATTTCTTTCTGCTCCACTTGCTCTTTTTCACTGTAGATCTGCATAATAGTCACCATTAATAGCCACACCACCGATTCTACATTAGGATGCCTTGGAATTTTCTCCACCAAAGAAAATTTCAACTTAGCTTTGGGAAAACTCTTAGACTATGGGCAGACTGCCAAAATATCTCAGTTGCTGCTTAAGTCCTTATTTTCCTCTGGAACTATAATGTTCTCAGCACTGATTTCTTCCAGGCTTCTACTAGAATGAGCCATTAAGCTCTGCTTACAGCATTCAACTGCTTTTCTAGCCCAAACTTCCAAAGCCTTCCACATTCCTCCAAAAGCCCACATGGTCAGGTTCTTCACAGCCAAGAGCCCACTCTCTGGTGTCAATTTCTGTATTAGTTACTTTTCTGTTATTGTGATAAAACACTGTGACCAAGGGAACTTATAAAAGCAAGAGTTCATTTGAGCTTACAGTTGCAGGGGAAGCATGGTGGCAGGAGGTTGGAGCAGGAGCAGAAAGCTGAGACTCACATCTTCAAGCAGGCACAGGAAGCAGAGAGCAACTGGAGATCCAGCAAGGCTTAAGAAATTGCTAAGCCTGCCCTCAGTGATGTGCTTCCTCCAGCAGTTTTATAAGAAATAGTAACAACAGCAAAGTCTTCACCCTAAATTTATATCACTAATACAAACTTTTAAATGATTAATCTACAAACAAGTATGAATAACTCCAAGATGACCCAGTGATACCTCAAATCCAAGAGGCAATTGACAGCTTTTAAATAGTACCATCGACTGTTTAGTTTCTGAGTAGTCAGTTTCCCACCAATGTGCTTTGTCCATATCTAAATACTCCAAGACAGCCTGGACATGATGACATCCTGTCTCTGCTTTAAGTCATTTGCAATTTAAAAGATTAACCTTTCCAGGCATGTACAGCTGTGTCAGAGGGATGCATTTCACTTCCAGAGCTCAATTTCAGGCACCAATGCACAGTCGAGAGATTTGGTTCTGTACTGCTTTTTCTTTGAGGCTTTGGCTTTATGTATGTCTAAATCTACACCTGATCTTAGCCAAAAGGCCGAGGAGCAATACTTACCTCTAAATCTAAAGAAATTCTTTTACTTTAGTATACATTGTTACCATCAAATTACTTTCTTTAAAAATTTAAAATGTTTTCTCTCTCTCTCTCTCTCTCTCTCTCTCTCTCTCTCTCTCTCGTGTATGTATGTGTGTGTACCTGGGGAGTCCAGAAGCATGGGATTTCCAGGATTTGGAATTACAACTAGTTGTGAGCTGCTGGATGTGGGTGCTGGAAACAAAACTCAGGTCCTCTGCAAGAACCCTCTAAGCTAGCTCTCCAACCCCTAAAATTAAAAAAAAAATTTTTTTTAACTGAATTTTTGTGTATTTCATACAGAAAATCATCTTTATACCCCCTTCCCCTTTGGCACCCTCCCAAAGCCCCCCCCCCCACACCGAGTTCATAGCTTTGGTCATTTGTGTTAGGGCTTTTCATGTAAAGTTAGTGTCCCCAGATGTCCCAGATTGCAAGTTCATCCATTGGGATCTAGTCAGTCTATCTAGAGTCCTTCCCTTTAAGATCAGCTCATTCTCACCCAGCAGTAATCAGCTGCCAATAATTCTTCAGCTAAGATTGGGGCTTGCTGTTCATTTCTACAGTTCTATGTTGGTTTTTTGTCTGCTTAAGTTTGCATGGGTCTTGCTGACACCATTGCTGTGGGTTCAAATGAGAAGAGTCCCAGGAGCCTGTAGGACTGTTTCCATATAATCATGCACCTCCTCCCTGACTCTTACAATCAAAAGATTGGCCCCTCTTCCACAATGATCCCTGAACCCTGGGTGGGTGGATTTTAATATAGGAGTCCTGTCCAAGGACCCACATTCTGCAGACTCTTATTCTGTGTGATTTGACCATTTGTGACCTTTTGCATTCCTGGCCCTCTGTTGCACGAGGGAGTTTCATTGATGAGAATTGAAAGATGCACTAGTGTTCTATGTTCCATGAGCCTTAGGTGTAGAGGTTGCATCCAAGATGTACCATTTAGGCTTAGGCAATTCTCAATCTCTGTGTGACATCAGTTGTGGAACTCTAATTATGTCTGTCTCTTGAAAAAGAAGCTTCTTGGATGAGTGATGATTGGGATACTTGTCTATAGGTTTAAGGATCCATATTACATTTGTCTAGGGATATGACAGCCTTGGGGTTTTCTCTAAGACCTATGACCTCTCCAACTATGTATTTGGCTAGGTTTATAGTACCTCACATGAGTTTCCTCCCATTGAGTGGACTTTAAGTCCAATTAGGTAGCTATCGATTGCCCCTAAGATAAAAGTGTCACTACTGCACCAATGTTGTTTACTGTGCTGGTCATTGATGTGGTTTTTAGGAATTGAAACTGGGGCTGGAGCATCAATTGATGTTCTCCCTTAGCAGCTTGTGTGGTGCCCTCCAAAGCTATGAGAACTAGCCTTCAGGGGAGGTGGCTTCCAGGTCAGTTCCAGCTCTGTTGCTCCAAATTCTGTGTCCAAAGTGTGTGCTGTCTTCAGCAACAGGGTCATGCCATCAAGTTCTGGGAGGTAATCAAAGACTGGCAATTTTGGACTCTCTTGGACCACCCTGGCCAACAACTCAAAGGAAGGTTTCTTCTGTCTGGCACTATTTCTTGTTATGTAGCAGTCAGCTGTGCTCACAGACTCATGTCGAGATATCGTATGTGTAATTTTTTCAGTAAGTTTTTGGACTAATACAATTCCATCTGGTTTTTTATACTAGCTAGGCACTATTTATGTCTCCTCTTTGTCTTCCTGTCTTATCCTCCTTCCCCACCCTCCCAATTTAAAGTGTCCCCATTTTCCCTATTTTTCCCTTGATAATTTTTATTTTTTATTTATTTATTTTATTTTATTTTTTTCCCCTCGATAATTTTTGTATGCTATGGTCCCACCTCTTTTGAGCTCCTTCTTCCCTTTTATTCCCATAGTTCCTTGTGTAGCTCTCCTTCTCCCCTTCCCATTTAACTAATGCAATTTTACACGTTTCTCCCTTAGTAATACCTGTCTCCTATTATTCTTCTCTCAGGTTCCTTCTTTCCCTTTCCTTTCCTGGTTCCCTTCCTTTTTTTGTTCCTGCAGTTACATCAGGATATGTACTCTTTTATAAGGATTTGGTGCTAGGATCCACGAACGAGGGAGAACATATGTCTTTTGTTTTTCTGAGTCTGTGTTACTTCACTTAGTATAACAGTTTCTAAATCCGTCCATTTACCTTCAAATTTCATTATTTCATCTTTCTTCACCACTGAGTAGAACTCCATTGTGTAAATGTACCACATTTTCATTAACCACTTATCAGGTGAGGGACACTTAAGTTGCTTC